CTTTAAAAAAATTATTTACCCCAAGATCATAAAATGCATGACAGAAGCTTGACCAGAGCATGGACAAAATCAAGGCTGGGGGCTGGATCCAACCAGCTAAGCATCTCTCTGGTCCACCCAGCTGGTTAGCAGAGCATGCACACTTACAGCCAGCAGCATGTTCTGCCGCTCCTCCCTCCACCTTGCTCCATCCTACGGCAGAACTGCTCCCAGGATCCTCCTGCTAGATGTCCAGAGAGGGGAGTGCTAAAGCCAGGGTGTCCTCCTATCCTGTACCCCATCTCTGCAGAGCAGGGATCATGGAGAGACAGACACACAGCAGTCTAAAGCATGGATGGTGAGTGACTCAGGAGTACCGGTCTTAAGAGCCAGTGTTTCTAAGATTTCAGTGCTCATGCGCTCTCACACTTCTCCCTTCCCCCACCCCATTCCCTATCTCCACAGACTGAGCATCCAACAACGCAGGACAACTTTCCCTGTCTTAAAGAGACAGCATGTGGCTTCTCTCAGAAACATACCCAGCAGCAGCCAGCACACACACACACTCCTGTCTCTATGCCACACTGACTCAGTCTGTGTCAAAGTCTGTTTCTCCTACAGAGAGTGTCTCTTTCTCACACACACCCTCTTTCTGCATTCTCTACCCCCCCCCCTTCCACAGGACCAGGAGCCAGTCCATGACCACATACCAAAATTAAAGAAGTGGCGCCACTGTGAAAATTATTGCCCACCCCCGAGCTTGACCTATGTTTGGGAAAGATACAAGAGACCATCTCGTTGCACGTTCTGTAACCTTCCAAGTAAGGTAGGCTCACCAAACCAAAAAAAGCACAATTACTGTATGATAAACAACCATTCTTTTCTCCAGTACATCCTAAATGGGGATTCAAAAATATTTCCGTAAGGCAGGCTGGATGTCAAAGTGCCACTTTCCTTCTTTGATCTCTTATTCCTGGGGGAATTCTGCACCAAAAAAACCTGCACACTGTATTTTTAAATTCTGCAAAATATTGCATATTGTATTTGTTACAATAACAATCATACTAGCTTCATTTATTTTGGTAATTTATTTCAAAATACCTGTCAGCAAGTATGTCTAATGATACAAAAGCCATTCAGAAAATGTTTTCTGACAAATAGATTCTTTACTAGATGTATTAAGGTAGAACTTGTAGTTTGAGTAATAATTCATTTAAAGACATATTTCCTGCAACCCTCAGACTGCAACAGCTTGGGGGAATCAGGTAATGGGGGAGTGGAGGGAGAGTCAAATAATTGTTGAGAAAGCAACTGGGAGTGACTTAAAGAGTTGCTGGGTGCAGGCAGGAGAAAAATTGAACAGGATTTTTGTGGGGGGAGACTGAGACTCATAGACTTTAAGGTCAGAAGGGACCATTATGATCATCTAGTCTGACCCCCTGCACAGTGCAGGCCACAATCTCACCCACCCCTCCTAGAATAATCCTCTCACTTATATCTCAGATATTGAAGCCTTCAAATACTTAACACCCCAAGATGCAGAGAATCCTCCAGCTGTGATCTGTTCCCCATGCTACAGAGGAAGGCAAAAAACCTCCAGGGCCTCTGCCAATCTACCCTGGAGGAAAATTCCTTCCCGACCCCAAATATGACGATCAGCTAAACCCTGAGCATGTGGGCAAGACTCATCAGCCAGACACCCATAAAGTTCTCTATAGTAACTCCTATCATCCCTCCATTGACCTATTTCCCACTGATAACATGATTTTGGTAACTAATTGACCATTTGTTATCTCAGAGATGTGACCCTGGCCGACCCCCATGCCTCTCAATCAAGTCAGGCATATCTGCCCCTTTTCCCTGAGGTGCCAGATCCCCATTCCCAGTTGGCCCTCATCCAAGTCTGTTCCTCCAGTGCCATGTGCCCCATGCTGTCCAATCCCCCACTTTATCCCTTACTTCCTCACCTGGTCACATGGGTAGAGCACTGTGAGGAATGCAGACTTTTCTCCCTCGCTGTGGCTAGCTGCTTCTGAACAGGAGTGGCTGCCCTCTGTTCTGGCACAACAGCAGGTCTTGGTGGGCAAAAGACATAACCACAACAGACTATTTTCTGCTGGGGAAATGAATTTTGCAGTGGTGCAGAGTTCACCCAGGAATAATCTCTTACTATCGCTGTCACCCACAATCTCACAAATACGGAAAATTAAGACTTAAGTACTCAAGTATTTTTAGGTGTCTTTTTGGGTTGGTGGGTTTTTTTGTTTGCTTATTTTTTAAACTATGACAGTCTTTATGCTGTTGGCTAGAAACAAGAACGACCATTGTACAAGAAGGCAACTGCCTATCCACTACTCATCTGTGGAGCCCAGTCAGCTGTTAAAACACTTCATCTAAAAAAAATGGTGCTATAATTTAAACAGCAATTTTTTATTTATAACTTAACATAGCTACATGGTTTCTTTATTCAAGTTTCAGGGGAAATATTTATTTGTGCTCCAAATTCTTAAATTAAATTTCCACACAGAGCCATTATTTCCTGTCCTCGTTCCCCTACTGGCACTGAATTTAAAATGCCGATTCAACTTTTACTCATTCAGCCTGAATTGGAAAGTAGCATGAGCAATCACACACACAAAGGCTTATTTTTAACTAATTCAGGGCAAAACATAAAAGTGGTTATACTGTAAGTATGAGACAGGAGGAACATGGTGTCCAAACTGACAGCTACTCTCCCCCTCAGCTTGAAGGAGACGCAAAAGGGGATCAGAGGGGCCAGGATGACATAGTTTTCCCTGGTGGCCTCATGGTCATCTTCACTGGATGAGGCAGTGGTGGATACCACCCTGTCCCCTACTTCAATGGACTGTAGAACTCACCAGGAGCTCCTCAGGCATGTCGTCCAAGGTCTCAATCTCCCAGTAGAAGAGGTGGTCGAAGAGTCCAACTTGATTGTGGATGTTCTTTCACGTGAGCATCCAGCAAGGGCAGCCTTGCTTCTCATTATTAAGTCCATTCAGACCACCACAAAGGTGCTTTGGCAGAATCTGACCTCTCTTGTGCTCATGGCCAAAGGGGAGGAGAGGCACTGCTTTGTGCCACAGAGGGGATATGATCACCTCTACATCTACTCCCAGCCAGGCCTGTTGGTGAAGAACATGTTAAACCAGTAAGAGCGTGAAGGGCAATCTGGTCCTGGCCCAAAAAATAAGGACTCTAAAATGCTGGACCTAAAATTCAGGCGCAAAGTCTATTTGGCTGAAAGTCTTGAACTATCAGGCACTCCTCAGTCACTATTGCCTTCAACTCCTGGAACACCCTCTCCAAATTCCTGTAGCCTCCTCCGTACAAACTGCTGGTAAGTCACATATTGGAATGCACATGAACAATCACTCAAAGAAGAAAGAACGGTTACTTACCTTTTGTAACTGTTGTTCTTCGAGGTATGTTGCTCATGTCCATTCCAGACCCTCCTGCCTCCTCTGTTGGACTGTTCCGGCAGTCAGGTTGGAAGTGAGAGTCAGGTCGGCAGGGGTACATATACGATGCCGGGATGCATCACCATTGGGAGCACCACAGTTGACCCGACAAGTACAGCTAGGGAAAATTCTTCAGACGATCATACAAATTGTGCATTCACACACACATTGGAATGGACATGTGCCACATTTCTCAAAGACCAAGTTGCAAAAAGGTAAGTAACCATTCTTTTTAACTTGATCCCCCAATTCAGTTCTCTTCTGTAAATTCATCCAGGCTCAGATACTTGAGACCATCTCTCAAAAGTGTCTTCCCAAGCAGGGGTGGGAGACCACTCAAATGTTTCCGTGCTACTGAGCATACACGCTAAGATTAAACAAGTCAGAGAGGAAGAATAAGTAAAACTCAGTGAGACACTGCCGTGGGGCTGGCTATGAATACAACGCAAAATTGCTTCCCAGTAGGTGAGGGACTTCCATTTACTGTACTATCATTAAAGTGACAATGACTTGTCTTTTTGACAGAACTATTACAAAAATCTGGCTATCGGTATACACTTATCTAGTACTTCTCCCTATTTGACATCTTCATTTGCAGAACAGTTTTACTATTCTGATTTAAATAGAGTTTTCTAAACCAACTGCAGGGGAAATGTGTGAAATGATTCTTAAAGGTGACTCACAACAACTTCAGCTGTATTCACAAGATATTCAGACTATCCACTTGTGTCCTCTCTTCCTCAGGGTTCTAGCACTGTGCAAATGATTGTTTGGGTGTACAAAATTGTCTCCAAATTTTCAGTGCCACAAGAATCTCACACAGCCCATGTGTCCAGATCCTTGAAGGTTGCTGTGTAGTTCCTGTGTATCAAAGATACTGTTTGTGAATTATGCAAAAGCAGTATATTTGAACTACAGTTACCAGTGAACAATCTTTGTATTTTGCAAAGAAATAGACGAAACTCTATGCAACACAAGGAACTAAAGCCTTCATAAGAACACTGCTTTTGTAAAAGGGCTGTTTCTATGCTATTGCTTGAGATTCCAACTGCAAATCACCAATACCTTCGATCTTCTACCAGGCACTAAAGGGCTAAAGTTAGTTCATATCAAATTTATCTGTCACGTGGTCTGTCAGGATTTCTTTGTAGCAGCACTTTTAACTAGGGTCCTAGCAGTACAAGGCAAAACCTCAAACATAAACCTGGCTTTCAGTGGGCATAGGGACAATGCACTATTCATTAACATTAATAAAGGTGAAGTATATAGAAGTCATAGGAACTGTGTTTTACAGTACAAGCAAACTTCAAAGTATGTTCTGAACACCCACAGCTAATGGTGAAATGATATGATCAATTTAAGAAACTCCAGATTTTTCAAAAACCCTTTTATTAATACAAAGTAAAAAGGAGAACTATTTGGTTATAGCTCATCAGTGAGAATTATTACACTTAATTACACTCAGTCCAAAGGGGTGTTTTCTCATAAGGGTTTTAGTTCCTATAATGAAACTGTATATAGACTTTATACAGTAATCTTGCATATGATGTAAGGTGTTTATTCTGATCAATACATATTAAGCCCTCCACTCCTTGGCAGGAAAAAGTACAGTATGTGTTGATCAATACTTTATATAAACAAAAGAAAAATTACCCAACCACCCAAAATGATCAAATCCAACAAAAGTTCATAGCATTTTCTGAAATGGGAAAAAAAATTGCATTTAATTAAAAATATCAGTGTTCCAAATGAGTTTGCCAGAGTGTTTAAAACTAGTACCATTCATGTATGCAGATCAAAGAAAGCATGTATCTCCATTATATGCTGTGAAGAGAAACGTACACTACCTCTCTCTGTACTCTTCTGTGACTAGAGATATACTTCTGTGCGTTGAAGGAAGTTCATGTAATTTTCCAGAAAATACAGTACTTAATTTTATTTCTTATTGGTCAGTTTAAACAACTTACTACATTTACAGATCAACTCTGTGACTGTACCAGTTTTAACATACAGTATACAGAAATCAAATTTAGTATTTATACCTTAGACAGTGCTTTAACAGTCCTCTGAGAATGTTCTAGTTAAATTAGATATAGCAACATGGCAAACCTCTATCACATATACAGTAAAACCCATCATCACACGTGGACACAACTTAAGAGAGACATTTTACTCACAGCTTGCCAGAATTTTCCAATAGCATGTCTAATCATTTACTTGTTTGTAATCTACACATCATAGATCCTACTGGAGATTCTTAAAAGGGACTTGTTCAGTTACTGAAAAGTATACTTATTTTTCTAACGGTACTACCAGTAGCTCTCTAACCTGTTAATGCAGCAATTTTGTTATTTTGCAGGTATGCTAGTGGGGCATATTTTTCTGTTCGTTTACATACCTGTAAAATTTTAAATACAAAAAGAGGGGATTTTAGTTCTTCAAAAAAAGAATTGTATAGTTTCTACTTTCCATCCAACCAAGTGAAGTATATCATTCAATAATAAAATTGTGATTCTAAGCATAAAAATTAACCAGATTGTTTTCACAACGATGTTTGGTATATACTAAATCACTTTATAAAACCTACACTGAGCTCCCTTATTGCCTTTTTGAAAATATAATCACCCATTTCAGCTGAAAACCTTTTCTTATACAATAATCCACTTCCTGTATACCACCATCACACATGAAGAGTTGTGTACAAACATCCCTTCAAATATACACACAGAACTTCAAACATCTTCCAACACACAGTGACACGTCAGCTCACTGTTGTTCCTTTTTTGTTTGTTTTACAGTTCATCATGCCCTTCTGTGGTCTCTTGGTCTTTCAGTTTGAATTCTTCAGCTGTGATCTTGCCATCTCCATTTCGGTCCTGATTTGTGAACATATTTTTAACAATCTTTTCAGAGTCAAAACCAGGAGCTAGTTTTCCTTTGCCAGAATCAACCTGAGCTTGAATATATTCTGAAAACTAGAGAGGAAAAAAAAGGTTATCAATGGGGATATAGTCGGTTAAACGATTAACCAATAAGCAGATGCTTATCGATTAATTCTATTGGCTACACGCAGGCCCCAGCTCTCCCTCACGGCTCTGCCAGTACGTTTTTTAGCAGTCTGGCAGGAATTAGAACTAGCCCATAACATGAATGGATGGATAGCAGTGTTCCCTGTAAGCTGAGTGCTTGGGTCACCAACCAAGAGAGATTCAAATGCTGCCTAGCTAATTAGCAGAATGGCCACAGCTGGTAGCGTGTGTGTCTACTGGTAGGCCATATCCACAAATGCCTCAGTGCACACATAACAAAATCTATTCTCTGTACATGGATGGAAAAAAATGAGAGAAAATACTGATACCCAGGCATATCTATGCAGTGCTTGTCCACAACAGAAAACAACTACTACTGAATAACATGATGTTGAGCTTCAGTCATAGGCCCTGATAGCCAACCAACTTTCCACCAGGGTCTAGGAAGCCAGCCTTCCCCCTGGGCTCCTTGCTGCAGACACCCCTGCCCTGGTCTGCAGCTTCCCTTTTATCAGAATCGGCTGTGCCCTAATTATCTGTAGTTTCCCTTGTGGCTGTCTACCACCCAGCCTACTTATCTGCAGCCTCTACTGCAGCTACCTACCATGCAGCCTTCCTAGGCTGATTTTAGGGCCAATACATGGCAGATGCCCCATCAGTTCTGATATGCAATGTCTATTACATCTATTCTGTAGACAAGAGCCCTGTAAGAGTAGGAGTGGAACAGCTACAGGAGATAGGAGGAAAATTAAAGAGAAAGGGAGGAAGGGATAATAGGAAGGCGAAAAAAAGAGGAAAAACAAATGTATTCTTTTAACCACTTGTCTTTCTGCATTTTGATAGCTCATATTGTTTTTTTAATTTAACATGTACATTTAATTTAAAATGTCAGCTTTCTATTAACTTGGTAATAACCATAGCCTACACTGGATAACTTCCAAAACCTGGCTTATTCCTGAGCTTGATGGTAGCAGAGCTAAGAAAAAAAAATCTATGCAAATAGTTTTGCCCCTGAACTTACCTCCTCCAGAAACACTTCTCCATTATTATCTTTGTCGATTTCTTCAAAGAGATTTGGAGAGACATCACCATGCCAGACAAACATGTAGCCATCAGGTAAGCCAGACACTAGTTCAAGCAGTTCAATGTCAAAAACTAATACGGCGCTACCAGGAACTTCTCCTTCTGTCACAACAAATGGCACAGTTAAGTATTAACTTTGTTATATGGCAAAGCACAATTTTTAGGTTTTTTTCCCCCCACAATTAAAAAGTATCTATTAAAAGTACAACAACAAATGCTTCACTTCCAATCCAAGCCCAACAAAATCATTGGGAGATTTTTCCTTAACTTCGGTAGGCACTGGATCATGCCATATATAAACAGCAAATAGGGTTTAGACCTAGCAATTAGGGATGTAGCAATTACGTGTAATCAGCTAATCAAGTAGTTGATGGAATTTCCATCAACTACTCAATTGGTCAATAAGGGGGAAAACTGCAGAACCACAGCAGTGTTAGCTCCTGGCCCCGGGAGCTAACCCCGCTGTGGCCCTGCTTTTTAATGTATCAAGAGCCGTCAGGGCGTAACAGGGGGATGGGTGTGAGCTAGGAATCAGATGATTCACGGCTTGTGCCCAGTCCCAGACACTGCACCTCTGCTTTCTAAATGTATTAAAGAGCTGCCAGGACAGCTGATTCCTGACTCGCTCCCTCTCTGCACCTGTTCTTTTTAAATGTATTAGGAGCCTAGTGACTCTTAATACATTTTAGAAGGAGAGGTGCAGGGGGAAGGGAACAAGAGTTAACCGGGAATCAGCTGATTCCCAGCTCACTCCTGGTCCCCTGCTACTCATCTACCTCTCCTACCCCTGCAACTGGTGCTGAAGGAAACCAGTTTTTAAGCTGGCTTCAGCTCCCCCGCTTGCTGCTTCTCTCTGATAGAAGCAGCAAGGGGGGGGGAGGGGAAGCGACTAGTCAAGTCACTACTCAACTACTTAATAAGCACATGCTCATTGGGTAGTCGACTAATCACTTATATCCCTACTTGTGACGTGAACGGGTAATTTTAATGGATGATGCTTACCAGGTAACGGTAAACCAGTACCCAGGAGCAGCCCCCTGCCCACAGGGTCCTCCCATAGGGCTTCCAGCTCCCAGCCAATGCAGGCTGGAAGCTGGCAGCCCCACACGGGGCTGGAAAGGGGGCCGCTGGAGCAGCCCCTGACTGCAGCAGGAGGGTGGGGGAGCTGCTCACTCGCACCCATGGCAAGCCAGGAGGCCACTGCATCCCACCTGGGCTGGAGCCGCCCTCCAGCCCGACTCACCTTTTCCTTTATATTTAACTGGTTAACCAACTGAACAGGGTTTTACATCCCCAGTTGGACCATACAATATTTGATCACAGGAGACGCAAACAGCACTACATATTTGCAATACGTAACATATGTAAAAGTGCCACTTCTCATTTTAAAGGCCCTAAGGAAAGGCACACGCATGTTTAAGTTAAATACTTGAATGGTACTTAAGCAAATTCTTAAGTGCCCTTCCTGAATAGGGATGGTTTCCTGAATTGGTACCTACCCAAGTTTCAATCCAATTATTTTAATAACCACTTAATATAAAATTTAGCCTTTCCATAATAACTGTTATTTTTTATTATTAAAAACCAAAAGGTACGTGGCAACTGCATATAGCCTCTAACTACAGGTACACGATTGTCTTTGTCTGATATATTTCCTCCCCTGGGACTCATCACTGAGGGGATTGAATTTGTAAGATTTTGTTTATTTTTAAAAGGAAAAATAATCAAAAAGAAAAGTCTGTTCCAAAACAAATAAAGGAGTCCCACTAGACAGTTTAAAAAACCAATATATTCGTACACATGCTAGCATTTATTTCACACCATATATCCAATGTAATCTCAATAATGGCAAATACCAACAATACATAATTGTATACATTCTTCAAATACATGATGAGTTTTTCATTAATAATTGTATAGCGGTTATCCTGGATTCACATAGAAATCAAAACGGTATTCAATTAATCTCTCAATTTTATTTGACATCTAACTCCGTGTGATACCTGAGGCTGAATCTTTATGTAACAGAAGTGGTTTATGTTCTTTAGGAAGCCAAATCAGAATAAGCTGCAGTGAGGCAGCCTGTCCCTTCAGAACCTAGAATTTAATATCATTAGGGCACCATTCTTCAAGTTCTTTTAATTGCACAAGCCAATAACAACTCCATGTACTGAGGACTGAAAGTCCTCTGGAATGTCTAGGTTTCATAACTAATTCCTGGAGCCTAATCATTCCAAATTAAAGTTTCAATCCCACAAAGTTCCTTGAGCACATAATTCTATCCCATGCATAACTACTGCAACTCCAAATGTATTATGCACATGTACAGGTGAAACTGCAGGCCCAAGTACAAAATTATCATAATGCCTAACTTTTAGCACCTAGAAAAATGACTGGGATTCACAAAGGCTGGATTCAGCAGCTAGATCCCCTATGCAATGGATGGGAAGAGACAAGCACTTACGGATGAGATTCACAAGAGGCAGCACACTGAGCAGGAGTATCACCTGAACTAACCACTGCGAGACACAAAGGCAAGAGGCTTGGCCCAAGCCCTGTCCTTTGCAAGGGAATTAGGAGTCTAAATCCAGAGTGCAGGAAGCCATGGATAGCTGGTTAGGATTCACAGCTGTGAACCCTCTTCCTGGAATCAGGCATTTAAGGCATTTCTTGCAAGAAACAATGGAGGATAAGCTCCTCATAACATTGGGCCCTGTGGTTAAGGAACTCACCTGGGAGTTCCTCACTCAAATAGCAATCAAGTGCCTATGGCCAGCACTAACTCAACCTTCTAGGTCTAGTATAAAGTACACAACTCCAGCTATGTAAAATATGTAGCTGGAGTTGGCTTACCTTAAGACAGTGGTCTCCAACATTTTTAAACCTAAAATCACTTTTTAAATCTCCAAACAGGCGAAGATCTACCACCCCGCCCCTTCCTTGAAGCCCCGCCTCTTCCTTGAAGCCCCACCCTCTCTTGCTATCCCCAGCCCTTACTCACACACTCTGATAAACAGTTTATTTTTAAATTATGCGATGTATAAAATTAAAATCACGTGTTTATAGTTATGAAATAAATGGTCTGTTTTTTATTCATGCTATTTAAATCTAAAATGAAGCATTTATAATTTTGTGGGGACAGAGTTTTGCGGCGGGGGGCAGGGAAGAGGGAACAGGGTGCTGGGAGGGCAGAGGACAGGGTTCTGTAGCAGGGGCCAGAGTGCCAGTGGGGACAGGTTTCTGCAGCTGGGGACAGGGTGCCAGTGGGGACAGGAATGGGGTCAGAGCTCTGTAGCTGGGAACACGGGAATGAAAACAGAATTCTGTGGCTGGGGACAAGGGAGTGGGGACAGAATTCTGTGGCTGGGGACAGGGGAGTGGGGACAGGGAGTGGGGACAGCATTCTGTAGCTGGGAGTGGGGGCTGGGGAGTGGGGTGCCAGTGGAGGCAGAGAGTCCCTTGCATCTGCCTCCTCCCAAGATTCCCCCCCCCCCCCCGGGAAACCAGTGCCCAAGGGGCCGACCCCCCCGGCGCAGGAAAGCCGCGCGCACGCTTGTCCCAGCGCCAACCCCCACGCACGCACCAGGAAACCCCGTGCACGCCTCCCCCAGGGCTGACTCACCCCTCCTGTGCAGTGCAGGGAGCTGATGCTCCCTCCCGCAGTACACCCGGCAGAGCAGCTAGCGCTACTTCCGGAATCTCCGGAAGTGGCGCTAAGCTGCGGGACTTCTGTCCATCCCAGGGAAGCCTAAACTACCTCCATTTTCACTTGAGGTAGGTAGTGGGGCTTCTCGGGGGTGGGAGGGAAATGGGGGCGGGGCGGACAGGATGCCTCATGATTGACCAGTCGATCGCAATCGACCTGTTGGTGACCACGGCCTTAAGATGAGCTAAGCAACATATTCACAGAGGGAGGCCGACGGGGGCAAACATTCCCATTGGCTTCCTCACGACTACATGGAGTACTGGCGCTGACCAGAGCTGATCTCAGCATTCAATTTAGCGGGTCTTAACTAGACCCGCTAAATCAAACACCAGACGATTGATCTCCAGCAGCGCAAGTGAAGTTTAGAACACCAAACTGTAGTTGACTACACAATTAACCGATAAGCCTGGGCTTATCAGTTAATTTTATCGACTAGACACACTCCCTCCCCCCGCCCCCTTGATACCTCTGTGTCATAGGCAGTAAGGAGTGGGGGAGGCGGGCGCCAATATGCATGGGGAGCCGACTCTGCCAAGCCACCTGCCCCGCCCCCCACTGCTTCCCACAGAACAGCAGTGGGGGAGGGGGCAGGCAGGAGCCAGCATGCACAGGGAGCTGGCTTTTAAGCCGCCTCTCCACATGTGCTGGTTCCCTAGAGCCACCAGTCCTCATAGAGGCAGCAGGGGGAGGAAGGGCAGGCGGAGCTAGTGATTGTGGGGAGCCAGCCACCTGCCCTCCCCAGCACTGCTGCCTCTGATAGAGAGGCAGAAGTGTGAGGTGGGTAGGAGGGCAGGTAGGAGCTGGAACACATGGGAAGTGGCTTTCAAGCCGGCTCACTGTGCATATCAACTCCTATGAAGCTGCCTGCCCCCCGGGCTTCTGCCTCATTATCAGAGGTAGTGGGGGAATGGGGGAGGTGAAAGCTGGTACTTGCAGAGAGGCCGCTTTTAAGCCAGATCCCTGTAAGCACCAGCTCCCTTCTACCCGGTCCCGCACATAAACATATAACTGTTAAAATTTCAAACAGTTACATGTTTACACATATACCCAATAGTTAACATCCATGGTCAAGATGTCATCTAAGCCACCTTGTGAATATAGCCTATAGTGCCAGCAGCATTCCATTAACACGAAGCACCATTCCTAACAAAATGTGCGTGCCTGCACTTGGTGGTGTCCTCTGGCAATCAGCCCACTGGTCAGAAAGTCACATTTTCAAAGCTGTATTCTTGAAGGTGGAAAGTTTGTGTCAACCAAACACTTCTTTGTTAAATTACTAACATGGCACACACTCCAAAGAGAGTGCTTTAATACTGTTAGATCATTTTAAAAGTGTAAAAAAAATGTTTTAAAATAATATCTTTCCTTACATTTTCAAAGCCAGTCTTACCCTCCTGCCCAAGAAATAATGAAAAAGACGACTAATAACACATATACTTCAGTAACTTTGTAGTGTCTATTAGATTTAACTTACTTACCAACACCAGCTTCTCCATAACCAAGATGTGGTGGAATAACAACTGTACGCCTCTCTCCAACACACATATCTCTAAGACCCATGTCCATCCCCAAAACAACCTGTCCAAGTCCCAAAACTATATTATATGTTTTACCAAGACTAACCCTGAAAAATAAAAACAATAAAAATGTCATTACTTCCAAGTTAACAAACTGTACAGTTTCTATATGAAAGACCCATTGAGGCCAAAATCAAGTTTACCCTTAATGCTAAACGCTTCTAAACAGCCAAGTAAAGATGTTAAGTATCAGGTAATTGACTAATCAAATAGTTGATGCATTTTGCACTGACTATTCAATTAGTCGATAGGGTACCTCCGCCTTTGAAGTGTAGAAACAGCCCTATCAACTTCAAAGGCTTTCGCCTGTGTGGAGCCCGGGGTCAGCTGGGGATTCCCTTGCTGATCCTGGGCTCCACGTGGCACTGCCACTTTGAAATGCCACGAGGAGCCTGACACCGTGCTCACCACAGCATTTCAAAGCAGCAGCACTGCACAGAGCCCAGGGTCAGCTGGGAACTCCCACGCGGCACTGCTGCTTTAAAACATAGCATGCAGTCTGGGGACACCCCACATGGCCTCAGACTGCACGTGGCTTTTCAAAGCGGCAGCGTTGTGTGGAGCCCGGGATTTGGCCGCAGGCTTCAAGCGGTTCTGCAGCTTTGAAATACCCTCTCCCCCCTACTGGCCTTTATCTGATAGAAGCAGCAAGGGGGGGAAGGGGAGAGAGGGACGACTAGTCGACAATCAAGCATTTACTTATCGGATAGTCAACTAGTCCTTCACATCCTAATGCCAAGTGGTATATTTGCTGAAATAACAGGTGCTATGGTCTCGTGAATTAGACCTGGATGATTTCAATCCTCCCCATCAAAACTTCAAAATACCTTGTCATTCAAAAATGGGCTTTTTGCCTTGCAAATATGTTTGGGGCAAAAACACTTTGTAAGCCACATGCCTGATTCTGCAAAGCCTTAAGCACAGGACTAAGTTTTCTCACACGAGGAATGCCCTTGGCTAAATAAATACAGCTGTGATTTCAGAGGAACTTGAAGGAAGCAGGCATCAAACTGCCATTGCAGTTCAATGGAATTTGGCCACTTTCCTTCTGCTCCTTTAAAAATCCCAGTCTACGTGCCCAGTTTATTAGGCAACTAATTTGAATCCCAAGTCAATTTTGAGCTCTTTAATGTTTCTAAGAATTTTGCTAATATTTGAGTCCTATCATGGTATAAATTATGATTTGCTATGGGGGGGGGGAG